CAGGATGTACAGGACTATTAAAAAAAACTTTCTCAAAAAAACAATGAATAAATAAATTAAGTAATTAAATCTAATGTCTCTTTGAAAGTCTAAACTCTCTCAACTATGTAAAACTAGAAGCAAGTTAAATATATTTTATTCCAAGAACCAGGGCACAATTACAATGAAAGCTAAACAAAACCAATATCCAGTAGTATAAATCAAATCCTGTAGTCCAGTATACAACATCCAGGATTCACAATCTTCAGGGTCCCAATTACCCTGTCTTTGCCACACAGTTTGTCTTATAGACTCAGGGCTGCTCCACTCAACAACTGCTCCTGTCCTTGGTGACCATCCTACAGCTTTGGCATCTCCAATTTCCTGGTGTCTACACTGCAACTGAGGCTGCCCCTTTACCCTCCTTTACTGCTCTTTTTCATGGACAATCACCCTGACACATGGTGACAAGACAGTCTCTCTCCCTGGTCTCTTCAGTTCTGAGGTTTCCACTATATATAAGGCCTCGTCTTCCCCAGTGGCTTCTTTTGGACTCTATGTAGGGACTCTAATCCTACCACACAGTGCCAAGTTACAACCCACCAGATACATCCTATGATGCCTTCAATCTTGAAGTTTTTTATTCATCCCAAACCAATACAACCTGGGAGACTCATATATTATCAGGTTTATTGCCAGCATACAATAACATGTCCTGCCCCTGTCTGAACCATAGCTCTGTGTGTTGACCCCAAGAAAATATTCAGAGACGATTTCACCACAGTGATGCTTTTCTTAATAACAGCTGATCTCAGAGCCTCAGCTGACCTCAGTGAAGCCTCAGCGATCCTGGCATCTTGCTAATTATAGCTGACTGTTCAGCCACAACTGATGAGAAACCACAGATTTTTAATCTAAATACACCATACAAATGACGCTGTCTTAGGGTTTCTGTTTCTGTGACAAAATACCATAAACAACTTGGGGAGGAGAGTGTTGTGTTAATGTCATTTACAACTCTAAGGTCATACTCTATTGCTGAGCTAAGTTGGGGCAGGAACCTGAGAGCAGGAGCTAATGCAGAGGCTATGGAGGAGTGCTGCTTACTGGCTTGCTCCTCCCTTGTTTTGCCTGATTTTATATTGTCCCCAGGACCACCAGACCACCAGTGACACTACTCACAACAGACTGTCTCCTCCCATAGGCTTGCCTACAGCCAGATCTTTTGGAAGAATTTTCTCAATTCAGAGTCCCTCTTCCAAGATGTCTGTAGCTTGCTTTGGGTTGACACAAATCAACAGGCAGAGGCCCTGATAAAGTCTCTGCTTCATTTTGAAACATCACAAACCAGTCTGCATCATCTGCATAGCTCTCAACATTATCTTCCATGTTCCCAGAGAACAACCACCCATTAAGCTTTGAGTACCCAATGGCATTCTAGCTGAAAATCCCAAACACTCCTACAACCCCCTGAACAACATGGTCAGGTCTGTTGCAACGACTCAGTTTTGGATTACTAGAGCTGTATGTCTCTTCTGGAGGGATTTGAGTATTAAGCTTTGCCTCTTCCTGAGATTTTGTTATTCGGTAAACAAATATCCAACGTAAGAGGAAAGGTGTGAGATCTCTTCTTTGGGGGTAGAGCCAACATCTCAAGGCACATGAGATCTGCCCCCACACACTAGGAAGTTATCTGTCTCATTCCATAAAGCCAATTCAGTTTGTCCCTCGCTCCGAGTGCCAGCCTTCCCACACAAGAGCATGTTTACTTCTTCTCTTCCTGCTTTGGCAGTGTGTGCCCAGAGGCCAGATGAGAGACTTACCACATGGCCTCAGCTGCTGCCTAGACTAAAGACAACCCTAGACAGCTGAAAATTCATTGTGCATTAAAAATTAAAAACCTGTCCCAGGTTAAATAATAATAATAATAATAGCCTAATTTTAAACAATCGATGTAAATTCATTGTACAAAGTGGTTAGTTTCGTAGTGACATTTAAAATGTTTTTATTTTTAAAAATTAGGCCTATTTGTGTATGTGCAAATGGCTGCAGGTAATCACAAGGCCAGAAGATGGCAGTGTGTCTCCTGGAGCTGGTGTTACAGAGGTTGTGAGCTGCTTGCCATGGGTACTGGGAACTGAACTTGAGTCTTCTGGAAGAGCAGTAATATACTCTTAAGTGGTGAACTGTCCTCTAGTCTACAGAATGACATTTGAGTTAAGTTTATCCTGCACTGTGACCATATTCACTCCGTTACCCTCTCTTGTCCCTTCTCCCCACTTCTGCTCTCTGCTTCTCTTTTCCCTTCCCAAATAGTCTCTGTTCTATTTATGTGAGGTGCGTGTGCGTGTGCGTGTATGTGTGCGCGTGTGCATGTGTGTGTGTGTGTGTATGTATGTGTGTGTGGTATATGTGGTGGTGGTAGTCTGTGTGTGTATGTGGTATGTATGTGATATGTGGTGTGTGTGTGTGGTGTGTGTGTGTGTGTGGTGTGTGTGGTGTGTGTGAGGGGATATGTAGTGGTGGGGTGTGTGTGGTGTGTATGTGGTGATGGTGGTCTGTATGTGTGTGATGTGTGTGTGATGTATGTGTGGTGGTGGTGGTGGTGGTGGTGGTGTGTGTGTGTGTGTGTTAAATCTAGGAGATGTTTGTCTTCCTGGATCAGGCTTACCTTTCATAACATAACCATCTCCAGTTACATCCATTTACCTCCAAATGACATAATTATACTTTTCTTTGTAGCTGAATAAAACTCTTCGATGAGTGAGGTAGAAATTGGAATAGGAGAATTCAAATTTTCTTTTATAGCTTCACTCATGGAGAAAACGTTGTTCATGGAAGGGCCCTGCCCAATCTTCTTCCTTAAATACCTTCCAGGAGCCTGTTTAAAAATGTGGGGTAGTGGTGATGGCATGTGTGCAGGCAGGTGGGGGCAGGTGGAGTGGGTCACCATTTCTGAGAACACTTCTAGATTTGATTGGTCACATAAATAAGCTTTTGTTAGTGAAAAGAAAAAATATATATACATACATATACATACACATATACGTATATAGTATATATGTTATATAATATTATATATATATATCCTCCTGCTTGCAAATGCCCTATGTACAGTTCAACTGTATGTGTCCACACCTCTGTGTGTTTCCTAACAAGTCCCTGCAAAGATCATAATGCCACAGTGGTCTGAAGGAGGTGGTCTAGGGTAAGAAGTCTGAGCTCACGTTTGGGTTTTGAAAATCCACCAATCCCTGAGCTTGAAAACCTACCAATTCCTGAGCTTGCCCCAAGTTCAGGACTTGAAATCCCACCAATCACCACCCTAGATATCTCCACCCTGGAAAATGCCAACCCCAAGAAACTCTATCTATACAAAGCCTGCCTCCCGTTCAGTTCTTTGTTACTTCTCGATTAAGCAGAAGCAGCCACCGTCTTGAGTCTTTCCCAGTAAATCTGCGTGAGGTCTGTTGTGCAGTGTAATCTTTTGGAATTGTTTGGTTCCCAACTGCCAGGATACCTTTCCCCTCAAAGCTGTAACAGGTACGTTGGGAAAACCTTTCCCTTCAGAGCTGTAACATTTACAGGTGGGAGGAAGAGTGATTTCCTCATCCCTCGAATCTGTTGTTCTGCGTTAGACTTCATTTTGTTTAGCTGACCAAAGTTACATCACTGTGTGTTGTCCACCAGAGACCCTCAGCCTCAGGCTCCACAATGCTGCCAGTTAGAACCACAGAAGGGGCGCGTCCTCTAATGTCCACCAGGTGGCGACCAAGCTCCAGGAGAACCAAACAGGGTGGGCCAGGGGCTACACCATTGAGGCCAGCTGTCACTTATTAGCCCAGCTGGAGTTGTGGGAGAGGAAGCTGATTCAGACAGCTGTGAAAAGGCTTCTGGGGCATGGGAAAAGTCTCACGAGTCCAGAAAGAAAAAAAAAAAAGCAAATGGATGTAATTATTTTCCTCAGTTAGTCAAAATCAAACACCTCTTTCCACAACTAAGGGTAGGGTGGTGGGAGAGGGAGGTGCTGAATGGCAGGATGGGACAGAAGGTGACACTGATCAAAATCGCTCCCAAAGAGGCTAAGCATGACAACATTCTTGAATTCTACTGTCCAGCGCTGCCGGAACTGGGTCATGACAGCAGTCTTCCCGGGCCTTAAATGATCAGTTCCAGTTGCTGTTTATGTCCCACCCCCATCCCTGCTACATTCCTTGGGGGTGGTCCTTTTTACTCTGTAGTAGTTACCATCCTATTTCACTGAGCTCTGAGTTAAAGAATAAAAGTCCTGTGATGAGAACAGGCTCCTGGAGCTCCTACCCAGGTCCCATTTGTGAAAAGGCGCCTGTCTTGGACATGCACTCTTCTCCGACATCACCCAGCAGCCTGTCTGGAAAGGGTTGAACATGTGACTTCTGTTTTAGCTTTGTCATGGATTCCATAAATAGGATTTTGGCAGTGAGGAAAGAACCTCTCACAACTGAGGTCCTTCATGACTCTCCAGTCCCTGGAATGTCTTTAGAAATAAACAGTAGGTGTCTTACTCAGAGTGGACTTCAGCCATTGTACCTATCTGCCCTCTTCTTGTAGCCCTTCCTACTCTGGAAGCACAGGTGCAGGAGCCTTGCCAACCTCAGCTTAGACGAATGTGCTAGAAAGCATTTATGTACAAAGGACACGGGGAACCTGCCTTCAGCCAACCAAACCACACATGTTGAAACAGACATGAGTCGATTTATTCCCTAGATATTTAGGTCCTGTTAACTTTGCTTCAAGGACCCTGTTTAAAGGACCTGCATGGCCCTGGATCACAATATTCCTGGGAGTCTGGACGGTTTGACAGAAGCTGAAGGACCTGCCGGGACGCAGCCGTGAGCCTCTGGCATCTGGCATCCTCTATGTCTGGAAATCTGAAGGCCTCACTGGGGGGTTGGAGAATAGGATCTGGTTCTGGCTGATATGTGGAATCATGAGACAGCAGCAGCACTTGACCAACAAATGGACACCATATACAAAGCATGTTGGGTAAATCATTAGGCATTTTATTATTAGGAAAGAAAGCGTCACTGATACACCGAGATTTTAGTAGGACATGATTTTAAACTCCGAGTCATAATTCTAGAAACCCATGACATCTGGTTGCAATAGAAATGCTTTCTCTGTTGTCTTTAAAACTAAGTAAGAAATAAATGTCTGTTCTAAGCTCCTTCCTTGTGGCTTCTCAAGGAACCAGGCTTCTACTGACCTGGGTCACTGGCTTCCTCTTCAGGGTGCAAAAGCCCATACACAGCACTTCTACATGCTGCAGATAAAACACTTTCTTCCTGAATAAACAGCCCACATCATTTTTTTCTGTCTTTGTAACTGGATGTGACTTATTTCTCCATTCACCTGTGAATAACTTGCCCATGTCTCCCTCCACGCTGACTGGCTGCTGTACTCTTTCTCGTCTCCGTGTGTGTTTTCTTCCAACACAGACCTCTCTGAAGGGCCCTGCACAAATCACAAAAGGCCCTGACTTCCCATGGCATTTCTTCATTTCCTCCCTGGGTGATGTTTACAGTATTCCCTGAGAACATTGCTGTGTATTAATAAAATTTGGATTCTCCAACTTCACAACCCCTGAAACATTAGCATAGATCTTCTTGCAAGAAACTGCCTTAACGGAAAGTCCCTTAAAAGAAAGTTGGTGGCCCGTGGAATCTACTTTACACAATAAAGACATGTGGGAATGTGGGCAGTAGGGGGCGCTCTCTTAGCAAAGTGAATATGACTCAGTTGGCACCAAGGGCAGAGAACATGCCTTCTCTGCCACGGTTAGTGGCCCTTGCTGCTGCAGAACTGGGTAGAGGCTCTAACTTTCACTCAATGCGCAGACCCTACATGCTTCTATCTTTTACAACTTTGGATACAATGTTTATTTCATGGTATCATTTAGAAATGTTAATATGGGGTTGTATATACAGTGACTGGCAGGAAACCTCGAAGTGCTCCTTCTGTGTTTTGTTAAGTAGATTTTCTGGATTTTAATTTTAAACCCTTAAGTATGTATAAATGTGTCTGGCAGAGATGGGGGGATATTCACAGGTATGTGCCCTCAAAGCCAAGAAGAGAGCAATGAATTCCCTTCAGCTGGAGTTACAGGTGGTAGTGAGCTGCCCAACGTGGGTACTGGGAACTGAACTTGAGATTCCTCTGTAAGAGCGGTATGCATTCTTAACCACGGAGCCACATCTCCAGACTCCTTTTCTGGAATCCAATGCTATGCCTTGAAAGATCAAGGTGCATCTGTCTACGTTCATGTTGGAGTGGATGTGTATATGTCTGCCCCCTCTTGAATCCTGCATTTACAAACTAACAAACTTCCTGTAGGGATTTTAAACAAAGAGCCACTCAGTTTGGACAGAGATGTGGCAGTTCTCATGAAGCCATCTGTACATGTGTGCCTGTGCATTTGGGTGTTAACGTGTGTTCATATGTACCTATATGTGTGTGCATGTGTGTGTGTGTGTGTGTGTGCATGTCTGTGCACACATGTTCCTGTGTGCCTTTGTCAATTTGTGGGTCTGTGTATGAATGCATGTGTGCATTAGAATGTGTAGGCATGCTAGTTGGCGACAGGGGACGTGTCTCTGTGAATGAAAGCAGGCAGAGGGCCAGATCTGCATCCTATGGAATTCAGCTCAAGAGTTCCTGCTATTATGCTGCTATGGGAGATCTCCTTACAAAGTCAAGTCCAATGGCTCCCAAGGGGCACCAATAAAGCAGGCCAAAGTTCAGTGTTCATTGGACCTTTGCATTCTTGAGCACAGCAGCCCCAGCCTCTCCTGATGCTAAGCTTCCAGGATGCCGAGGTTGCCTTGTTATACTATGCAAACATCTCTGGCTCAATTCTCCTTAATGTAACTCAAGGAGCTGAACTGTCTGGGCCATTCTTGCTCTGATACCTGATTCTAATCCAAAGGATGCCCCATCCTAGACTCCTCTCTGTCTTCCCTCTACTGACCTCTGCTCTGCGCTGGAGACTCCCTGGAGAGTGCATCCACAGGAAATGTGGATTCCTTTCCTGTAAGAACTTTAAATAATGAGCCTTTAAATTGGGACGGGTGGGCGGGCGGCTGTTCTCACGAAAGTGTGGGAAGATGTGAATGGCACTTGAGCAGAAACGGAACTCAAGGGATGGGACTTTGTATGTCCCACCCTGCCCTTCCGCTATGAAGAACAGAGAAGCGGAACTAGAATTTAAGCTTAGAACTACGAGACTGAAAGTACTTAGAACTATGAATATCAGACCTCAGGCTCTTCTATTCTGTCTTCCTGATGATATAACCCCATAATCTCTCATGCCATAAAAACCCAATGCTGCATGTCCATCCTAAAGAGTTTGCTGTTTGTTGTTGTTTGAATGTGAAATGTCCCCCATAGGTCCTCTGTCCCCAGTTGATGGTGCTGTTTGGGAAGATTATAGAACTTTTAGGAGGTAGAACCTGGCTAGAGGAAAGATGTCACTGGGGGGAGGGCTTTGGGTTCTCATAGCCTGATGCCACTTCCTGTTCTTTATTTCCAGACAGCTGAAGCGGTTTGATGGGCTGGCCTCATGGTCCTACAGCCCTGCTTTACCTGCCATCATGGGGTATATTCCCAAGGGTAAGCCGAAACAAACCTTTTCTGCTGTAAGTTGCTTTCATCCATGCGTCTTACTACAGCAATGAGAAATTAACTAAGATATCATCCTTACTGACATTGTTCCTTTGGGACCACACTTGGATATGGAATGCATGCTTGCTCTTGGATACAGAGCACGGTGAGTTCTAACATGGATGCAGTTTTAATAAATATCTGTATTTTCGAGAGACACACATACAAAACCATAAATCCTTGGCAGTGGGGATGGGGGATCTGTCATTTACTTATCAAAGTAAAATGTGGCTGGGAACACAGAAGAGCCAGGTACTTTTTCTCCAGAAAACACAAATCAGACCATAGAAACTCTGAATGTATATTGGCCTGGGAACTTAGAAGGCTGGGAAGGGATAGTATATAGCAATATAGACAGCATGCCAAGGGCTGTCATCACCACGGTCACAATGAAGTCACAAAGGCAAAACAAGAATGTACATGCTACACAGTTATTAAATCTATTCTACAATGCACGGGGAGTACCTGGTTAAAGCTGTTACGTGTAAGACAGATGCGGGAGAGTGAGCTCAGTACAGTAGATCAAGTTTGTCAATTATCTGGGGAAATATACACATGTGCATGGATTGCTCTCACAGTGCTGAACAGATTAGCATACAACGCTTATCTGAAAGAGCATGGGAAACCAACTTTACTTGAACCTTACAGAGTTGCTGTCATACGCGCTCTGAGTGTTCACCCTGCTCTGCTCGGACCTTGACATACAAATGTTTGTATATGTCCTTGTCATGAGAACTGTGTCTCCTTGGGTGCATTGCTTGCAAAGATTATCATCCAGGCAGAAGCATCCACATGGTGATTTTTTCCCTCCTACTTTCTTTTCTACTTTCCTTCCTCTGTCTTTTGTCCTTTTAGCCGGGGAAAGATCAGGAACTTACTAAGTACATCTCCCATGGCTTCATTTCATTTTCCATTTTTGAGCCATATATTTTCATTCTCAAGGCTGTGGTAGATGAGAGGCCATATTAAATCACAACCCTAGAAACCTTAAAATATGCTTCCTAATGTTTTCTACATTTTCCATCCTTCCTCCCTTCCTTCCTTCCTTGTTTCATTACTTTCTTCCATTTTATCATACTCCCTCCTTCCTTCCCTCCATCTTTCCTTCCTTCCTCGAATTCACTGAACTCCTGGATACTAACTTTTTACTTACTGTTTCAATCAACTCTTACCTTTGTAGCCAATGGGGGTATGTGTGTGTGTGTGCGCGCGCGCGTAAAACTCTCTTCAAAATTCTATTTTACAATACATAGAGACAAGTTGAGCCTTGTGGGAAGGGTTCTTTTAAATACTATACATATTTGGCAGTACACGAGGGGTAGGGCTAGGAGCAAAAATAAACATGGCCACTGCTTCTAGTCTGTCTTTACAAAAGAAAACATCTTCTCTATTGAAAGAGTCTCTTCAGCATCTGCTCCCAGAAGTCTGCAGAGAGAACACTTTAGCCATAGATTTGAATGGGTCCCTTTTCTTGGCATGGGCCCTGTTTCTGAGAGGTCCTGTGGATTTGGCTTTGTCAGGTCCTAGTTGAGCAGTGAGTAAGCACTAGAGGAATTTTCCAGGGATGAGCTGGTTGTCTCTGGGGTGGAAACGTTATATGTTCCTGGAAAAAAAAAATTATCTCAGCCTCAAAGACAAACGTTTGGGCACTTTGCGGGGCAAACATCTTCTAAGGAACCAAGATGAGCTCCGATGTAGCAGGCATGCCTGGAAATCAACCCACGCCTGCCCTCCTCCCTAACCCAACGTGCCAGAGAACAAACAACGGAAGTGCTGTCCTCGAGCATGCGCAGCAGCCACCAAGCGCTAACTACACCACACACCAGCAGTCAAGATTTTCACATCATAGGAAGATTTTCAACGTAGGAAGTCTCTCCATAAGCTCCCACATGCATGAACCCTGGGGGATTCTACACAAGGAAAACTTTTCTGGTCCCCTTGCTAATCTTGACTTGGGGACATCCTTAGGAAGGAACAGACCATTCAGCCAAGGGTTCATAGAGGGAAGAAAAGGAAAGCGAAGATTAACTATAAGGAAGGAAGAGGCAGGATGCAAAGGAGGGACAGATACTGACAGAACTACCGAGGACCAGCACAGCAGGGAGGGTGGTTGGCGTGACTGCTTAGCCTTATGTGGGCATACACCGCGCAAGGGAAGGGATGAAATGACTACTGCCCTACCATCAGGATGATGAACTGCCACTGCTAACAAGGTTTCCATCATTGCCTTGGGGGGCCTTTGGGGCTGCTGACAACATAAACCAAAGTTACAGTAATTAGCCCCCCACCCCCGAAAAAATTTATTCAGAGCAAGGCTGTACTGATGGCCCCCATAAGACTATCCAGTGGCAGTTACCAGGAATCTCGGGGCCTGATATTCTAGAAACAAGGCCCACATCCCAACTTAGACCTGGATCACGCTCAAAACAGAGCATATTCTAATAGCCTGATATTTTGCAGAGTTTAAATTTGGTGGGTTATTTTATAACTTCTACTCACGTCATTGGAAATGCTAAACACCTATGCAGTGCAATAGCTTTGATGTCCCAAAGACTTGGTCATCTCATATTAGTCAAATTAGTGACTTTCAAGGTGGGAAGGGACAATCCCCCAGTCTCTTGAGTGATCCCCCAAATGGAAGCAGGGAGCGCTATATCTAGTGGAGGTTTGGTCTCCACAGACTTCTCAGAATATTCAGACTCAGATACCTTTGATATCAAATGTATGGTAACCAGGGTCTGGAAGTGAACACAGTCTAAGTTTGCATTTGTGAGATCTATCTGGTTTTAAAGAGATGGAAGGGTATCTGGGAGGTGGCTCAATGATAGACTGTTTGCTTAGCATGCTGGAGAACCTGGGTTTGATCCTGAACATCGAAAAAAAAAAATGAAAAGGAAGGAGTTTGGGCAGTCATTTTCCTGTGGGAGGGGCAGTGTCTATGAATGTTGAGGGTCTGCTCTATCAGGTGGTGTGCTGGAACTGTCCTGTCAGGAGCAGTGTTATGAGACCGTCATGCGGGAGGCAGTGGGCTTTACATTCTCATTAGCTAAGGACAGTTCTGAAGTCATTAGTGCTATCTAGTTCCTATTTCCCAGGTAGAATTTACAATTGTCCAATAGAAATATCTAGGCTGCATAATACTACATGTACGTATACCCAGTTTAGAGATGTACAGCAAGCATGCTCCATAAGGAGAAAGAACAAGCCTGAGTTGAATCCTATAATCAAAATTTCCATGTTCATTCTTTGTGTGACACAGAAAAGAATTCTGTGTTGGACAAGCCCAGAAACTTGCAGGTACTGTTTATATTTGATAGACAGATTCCCAGGATGTGTCAAGATTCCTAACATCTTTGTGACTTTACAGTAGTTGACCATTTAGAGTAGTGGCCCCTCTTTAGCAACTTCCTGGTTGCTTGTGAATGTGTAAGCAAATCCCAATATTCAATATCTACCGCAAACACAGTAGTTTAGGTCCCTTCTATGAAGCGAGGGATGGAGGCAGGAGTAGGTCGGGGCCAGTAAGATCTAGTCCACCTGGGAGTATCTAGTAGTCACTACATACCTGTTTTACCAAAAAGATTATTAAATCTTCGGGATATCGGAGAACTCATCGAAAACACGGGTGTCGATGAACCTATGGACGTTGACTAGAAGACAGAGGGAGAAAAGACCATCACAAAGCGAGTCTGGGAGATCAAGGATGTTTCAATCTCTCGGAGGGTTTGGCTTGTTGCTGTCTAGTGGCCACTTTCTTGTGTTTTAAATGCTATCTCGTCAAGTGAGGCCCGGAGTATAGGATGCTCTCGCTGGAGAAATAGCTTGTAAGCATATATGAGCTGTGATCTCCCTCCCTCCCACTTAGCCATTCCCCCTCTATTCTTTCACCCTTCCTTCCTCCCTGCCTCTCTCCCTTTTTTTTCTCCTGTCCTTCCTTCATTTTTCCTTCCCTCCCTCTTTTTCTTTGCTGGTTCCTCACCTCTTTCTTCTTTCTTCCATTCCTTCTTCCTTCCCTACATTTTTCCTTCTCTTTCCTTCCCTTCCCCTCTCCTCTTCTTCCTTTCTCTCTCTCCATTTTATCTTTCTTTCTTTGCTAAGGAATACTGGTCACAACCCCAAATGTAAGAGTTAGTCTACTTCCTTGTATCATATTACTGGACTCCATGAGGATATGAAACAGGAAGTGCCTTCATAGCCAGGCTTACCTTTGAATGTTGGGAAGACCACCTTGACAATGAAAACTTATGCAGCAAAGCTTCCTGCACCTGCACCGTTTAAAAGAAGCCAGGGTCAATACAATAGACTTTGTTTGGGAATGTTTGACAGTTCCTGATGCCCCAAAAACTATCATTGTTCTTACCTTCTGATCCCAGAGGCAGCCGAAGAGCAAAATGAAGAGCCCCTGTGGAAAGGATTAAGAGCTGCGTTTTAAGAAAGCATTACTAAGCAGGTTTTGAGTCTGTCCCACCTCTTTCCCCATCTGAGTGGATGAGATGAGTCCAGAACATGACGAAATTGCAAGAAGCAACAGTTATGCACTGAGGAGCCTTAATTGATGGACGCTAGGGGAATCATATCTATTTTCCTCCAATCATGAACAGTATTTCCACGCTGGTTACGTACATGTCTCTCATCCACATTATTCCCCATCCATCCCTCTATGTTGGGAAGACAATCATAGGATGAGATAGTTTCTATCCATGGAAGCGTATCTTGAAAGCTAAGAATATTGTAGCTTATCACACACAGTGGTAGGAGTTGGGGTTAGTCACAAGCATCCAGGAACAAGATGCTTCCTTGTTGTCCATCTTTCTCTTATAGCTCATCTAACAAACTGGCATCCATTGTAAATGACTACATACTCTAAGAGAGCAACGAAGTGTCTTCCCCTGAACATCACCGAATAGATTGACATATGCAGGGTATTCATTTTTCAACATCCCTTTCCAGAGAAACTATGTAGTCCCCAGCATCTAATTCCTTCAATTGTCTTTTGAAAACATATCTTGGACTAAGGTCTTTATTAGGCACTAGAGGGAGATACAGTGACCAACAGGAAGCCTGTCTCCACAAAGCTTGTTGATGCTCACAAAGACAAAATAGAACCATGACTTGACTTAGTGACAGTGCTATCCTTAAAAGATAAGACTAAGGCAAGATTATCTTGAGTAAACAGCCTCATCTAGAATAGGATTATGACTCTCCTCCTACTTACTGTGTTACTTAATGTCCTCCTATAAATAAATGTATTACAGGGACATTTGGAACCAAGTTATAATGTAGGTGATAAAAGGTTCAAGGTTCCATGGGAGCAGAGGACTCTGTCCCTTAGTCTCTGAGTGCTTGTAATTACTGTTCTCTGAAGCTTAGGTCTCCTGTGCATGAAAACCCTTCCCCATTCCTCCCCTTGTTTGTGTTTCTATCATTAGTTTATCCCATAGGAATAGGTATTTCCTGCAATCCTGGTGCCATGAGCTTACCTGGAAGGCATTAAGGAGGGTAAATATGATGTGGAACACAGCATTGCTCCCCTGGATTACTGTGGCAAGACCAAAACCCCAAGTGAGCCCCAAGAGTGGCGTGAGGACCCCAATACTCTTGCTGATCTGGAATAGGCTGCTCTTCTCCTGCTTGCCTGGCTTGTCTCCGATGGAGGGCCTCAGGATCTTGGTGATGACCACAACTGTGATGCTTACGTTCACCACCACAATAATCAATGCTGGGATGGCGAAAGCCAGCAGTGCTCTGGTGTCCTCCCAGTTGAGCCAACATGCATTCTTCCTCATGTAGACTTCCTGTGGCTGCGTAACCCCCACTGTGATAGACGAGATAATGAGTGGACAGCCATAGCCTAGAGAAAAGGCAAAAGCTTTTTGGGTGGACTTGCTTGCATCATGTAGAATGAAAATCAGCCGGTAGAAGAGCATGAGGCCCAGAGTTAGCATCCAGAAGAAGACACTGAGATAGAAGAAGTGAATGAAGAATGTGGCAGCCACACAGGCTGTTTCGTTGAGGGGGTAATGACCATCGTGGATAGCACCAGCCACAATGAACCAAATGTCAGCAATCAGAAGGCAAAAGGCAATGTTGACTATACAGATGTGGCGCATATAGGAAGTTCGGTTCTTGGTCACTGATTTCCACACCATGGATTCCACAACTAGGCAGGCAGCTAAGCTGACTATGGAAAATCCCAAACCGATGTAAGAAATGATATCCAGAAGTATTTTTAAAAGAGATCCTGGATCTGGGGAATCTGGGGACATGAGGATGGAGAATGACGTCAGGTGGTTACACTTGCAGAAGACTCTGTCCCTGTTGTCCCTACCATCATCTTCCACAGAGCACCCACTGCTGTCCCAGCCCCCTGTATTGTTGGCAAGGCTGAAGTTCCAGAAGACACACTGTGGCTTGCCACCCGAGCGATGGTTGTTCTTAAAAGTCATAGAAATCCTAAACGGCTTGACGAGATTATGGCTGACAGTGGTTGTCATTACTAAGCTGCTGGGGGATGTCTTTCTCTGTACATCCTGGGCAAGGATGGCTTTGAGAGTCGGGAAAGCCACAGTAACGATCGACGAATCAGGCTGCAAGTTTCCTAGCTGACACTCATCGATGGCCACATCACCCCACAGGTCAGAGTCTGTGAAGATAAACTTCTGTTGGTAGATTTGGGGTTGGCCACGTCTTATCACCATGCTCTTCATCTGCACGTTAGGGTGGGAGAGGGATGGAGGAGTGCTGTCTCCCAGCTGGAGCGCTTGGGAAAACCTTTCCACAGAGTGCAGGAACTGAGAGCTCTGGTTGCTCTGTTGCTGTAGTAACTTCTCCCAGGAGTTCAAGGCGGACTTGTCTAAGATGACATTAATGGTAGCAAGTATGTCCTGTAGGTGACATGGGTAGGGATAGGGTCAAAGCATTTTTCAAGATAAGTAAGACAAAACATCATTTCTCTGGATACTGGTTGGTGCAGGGTCTGAGGCAACACAAGCAAAGAAAATCTCTCCCCTTCTTTCTCTCAACAGAGCTTGACAAAGGCAGAGACCACAAGGCTGTAGAACTTTGCTTAATATTCAGTAACAATGACTGTGAGAATACCCCCACACTACTGAGACCTACTTAGCTGGCTGGGAGAGGTCTTATTTACTAATTTTTGGCTCTAATTTTATTTTTGAAAACATATACATGTTCACATGTGTATATGTCAATGAGTGTGTGTGTGTGTGTGTGTGTGTGTGTGTGTGTGTGTACATGGAGATGCAGAGGCCAGAGGTTAACATTGGATCTCTTTCACAGTAACTGTCCACAGGGTCTGTCACTGAATCAGGAGTTCACTGATGCTGCATGGTTGGCTGGGATATTCTAGGGAGTATCTTCTTATCTGCTTCCTCAGCACTGGGATTCAGGCCCTACACCCATGGGTATATGAGACTGAACTCAGATTCTCATGCATGGTAAGCACTTCCCAGACATCTCCCCAGGCCAGTGACTGGCTTTTGGTAGGTAGCATATCACCAGCAAGAGAAAGTCTCAGAAGACTCACTCTAGCCCTGAGCATCGAACAGCTATGAAACTATTTCCAAGGGCAGTCTTGTTGTCTGATAAACAATTTCTCTTTCTCATAATCTTGGACCTAATGCTTTTCATTTACTCGCTTGTCTTGAAAATATTTTTTCTCCCTATTTTTGCCTTTTCTGAATTATATTAGAATATGCCTATGGAATAGATTGAGTGGCACCTCTCACAGGACATATCCTGATTCCCAAACCTTGAGAATGTGACCTTAGGCAGACAGATAACCTTTACAGATGTAATTATTTTAAGGATCCATTCTAGTCAGATTTAACTGTCAACTTGACACAACCTAGCCTCACAAGTGTTGCCCAAGAAGTCTTGATAGAGGGATTGCCTAGAGCAGACTGCCAGGTGGGTATATTTGTGAAAATTTATCTTGATTGCCAAAATTAATACAAGAGAGCCCTGTCCTTTGTGGGCAGCACCATTCCCTAGGCAGGTGGTCCTAAGCTATATAGGAAAGTAAACTAAGCATGTGATCCTGAGCTACCAAGCAGCATTCCTCTGTGGCTTCTGCATCAAGTTCCTGCCTTGACTTCCTTCAGTGATGGGACTGCAACCTATAGCTTTTCCTCCCCCAAGTTGTTTTTGGTCCTGGTGTTTATCACAGCAACAAAACTAGGGGCAAGACATATTCTGAATCATCTGAGTGACTCTCAACTCCAATATATCTTTACAAAATACAGACAAAGAAAAGGCTTGGACAGAGAGATTCAGCTGGTGCTTCAGGAACCAAAGTATACCAGGTGTCCCCAGAAGCTGGGAGAAGTGAAGAAAGATTCTTCTCTAGCACCCTTCTGGGAGTGTGGCTTTGCAACCATCGTGATTTGCCTCTAGAACAGGGACACAATATATTTCTGTCCAAGCAACCCAACCCATGCTTGGATGGTCCCCACCCACAAATGTAAAACTTTGCAGGTTGCTACACGGTTCCATGCTTGCTGGCCTCTTGTTGGGTTTAGCCAGGAGGGGGCAGGCAGTGGAAAGATGGGGGTGAGAAGAGTTGACATAAATCATCCATGCTGTCCCCTTACCCTGTTTCATTCATCCCAAGCTTGTCTCTGGTAAAAAACTATACTGGCCTTCAAAATCTACAGCTTCTGAGGAGAGTGATCTCCCCTAAGATTTCAGCTATCACTGGACTTGAGTGAAGTCCAATCTTCTGTCTATAGTGTAGTAACGGCTTATAAAGACTGTGGCCTCTGAGTGTCCCATCCCATCCCATATGTATTTTATTCTGACTTACCTCTGTATGTTTCCTTTCATTAAAATCTTTCAATTTGAACTGTTATGAGTTCTCTTTTCTCCCAAAATAAGTACCTCACGGTTTACATTCAATGTAAGACCTTTGAGAATCTTATCTTGGTTTCCTTTCTGTTGCTGTGACAAAATACCCTGACAAAAACAATTTAAGGCCCTGCAATTCCAGATCACATCCTATCATGACAGGGCAGCTGACAGTGGTGGAATCTTAAGAAAGCTGGTCATGTTACAGCCACAGTCAAGAGCAGAGGGCAACAAATAAAAGGCACACATGTAAGTGCTCAGCTCATGTCCTCCACTCTTATATAATTCAGGATGCCCAGCCTAGGGAATGGTGCCGCCCACAATTTAGATGGGACTTCCTAAATCAATTAATTTAATGTAGACAGTCTGTGACAGACCTTCTCAGAAACCGATTTTAATCAAGTCGGTATTTTACAGGTGTGCCAAGAGGCCTGACTTAGGTACCAAATTGACACTATCATACCCACCTTGCACATATGTTGTAACCTCTAAATTACTAATTTTTCTAGAAAACTAGCAGGAATTCATTCTATTTGAACAAAGAAATGAAAGCAGAGACTCTTTAAAGAAATCCAAAAACCTTCTGCTCTTCTAGAAGCCAGAGCCTGCAGAGCACACTATGCCCTTCTCATATTCAAGTGAATACTCTGAGAGAGACGAGTCTGTGTGGGAAGGACTATGCTTCCTGCAAACAAGTCCAGAGGTGCAAGAAGACAAGACCCCAAACTCCCACAGGGCTTAAGTACACTTACTCTCATCATTTCTGAATTCACTTGGGTTGGAACTGTTGAGAGCAAATCAAGGATGTTAATGATGGCTCCCAGGCTCCCAGGAGATGAGCGGATGTCCTGTTCTTCCTTCCCAGCACTAACAGAAAGGTCCCTCAGGTAGGTAGGGAGCTTCTGGTCCTGAGAGGGGCTCTTGATTAAAGCCTAGTTTAAAAGAAAAACAAAACAAAAACAAATGAAATTATTCCAATAATCTGGAAGTTGTGGTTTCCTTTTTTCTCAATGCCCACATCAATAGTATATACTGTAAAATTAAAGCCTTCACTTCTTAAAGTCTCTGTGCACACCCTTCAAGATGGAGAAAGCATAAGATCTCATGCACAGAAAGCAAACTGTTAAACATATGCCACCCTGGAAAATAACTAGAAAGAAAGGAATGGTAGATACGATTGCTACAGAGTTAAAGTAAAATAAACCAGTCACTTGTCCACATAGAAACCACTCTTCTTCCTATGCTACTTATACCTCTGATTGTGAATATGATTGTCCCTCCATATTTCATTCTTCTAGATCTGTTATCTCAGTATAATTGTTAAGAGTGTCCTCCTTTACTGTCATAGTCCCGAAAAGTGCCATGAAGCTGCCAAGGGAGTGAAATGAACTGTAGATCTACTCAGTTGTGAACCTCAAAAGAGACCAATATGGCAAAATATCCCTAGAGTTGCAATAGTGGCACTCATATCTTGGCAGTAAACAACTTCTGTCTAATTGGATTTACAGTTCATCCAACAGCAGGGAAATCATGTCTGCTCCTAGAAATCCGGCCAATTACTTGGAGGTCATGGAGGTCATACATCTTAGAGGACAACCTTATATCACCACTTCACTAAAACACATAGTTCCTAGCTGCATTTTAAATATTTGTACATATACATAGCTTCCAACCCTCACCAACAAAACTCTTTGCAATAGACAGAAACCATTACAGAAGTCCATTACTGGTAAGATCCAGAAAATAACTACTCATGGGGTGTCCAGTCCAATGGATACATCAACAACACACCATTTGTATCTAAGGCTCAGAAAAAAACTGGGGAAGGGAAGATGGAAAGATTGTGAAAGCCAGAGGACTTGGAAATCATCTGTGAGAGTGTGTCTCCTAGAAATGGCCAAGAAAGCTTCATCCATAATGCCTCAATAATATGGCTAACTTAACAAGACCTGAACAAGGACAACAATAACAGACATACTAACATGTAAGGGAGAAAATTTTATAGGGTCCCATGCCTAGACAAAGAACTATAGGCAGCTAAGGGACACTGAGAGCAGAGGAAGTAGTCTCGTCCAGGGATGAGTTTCCTAATTGGTTATCCAATAGCAAGTTGCCAGCCCTGAAGTCATATACATACAAACAACATTAAATGGTCTGAGAAGACTCTCTCTCTCCCTCCCTCCGTCCCTCCCCCCCCTCTCTCTTTCTCTCTCTCTCCCTCCCTCCCTCCCTCCTTCCCTCCCTCCCCCCCCTTCTCTCTCTCTGTGTTTGTGTGCTTTTGAATAAATATATAAATTTTAAAAAATTGGAACAAGGGGAGGTATGGGAAAATTTGGAGGAGGGACATGGAATGGGAGCAGAATTATGTGACTATATTTTAATAATAAAAATATTATAAAAATAAAAAGAACTGTCCCTTTTTATTCTCAGAGTATCTTGATTCAGATGACAAATAACATCATCTATCTGTACACGTCAGTATTCTAACTATCTTTTTTTTCTTGAGATAGGGTTTCTCTGTGTAGTCCTGGCTGTCCTGGAACTCTGTAGACCAGGCTGGACTTGAACTCAGAGATCCACCTGCCTCTGCCTGGGATTAAAGCTTGTATCACCACCATCTGGCTCTATCTACCTTTTCAACTCCTTAAGAAGTATGGGTTGAAAAAACTATATATTTCTATAGAAAACCTTTGATGAGTATCCACCTGTGAACACACAGGTATTTATTTTATTTAAATTTTTTATACTGGGGCATCTCCACCAGCATCATGTAGTTCACTTTCAAAACTTTCCTAATTATTTGTTATTGAATCTTATTTCAATGTTATCTCTTTATGAAAACATTATAGCTATTTGTCATCAGATTTGAAGGAAATCAGTAAGTAAATATAATACACCCTCCCTTGCAGGTCTCAGCATCATGAGATGCTGGGCATTTGAGGTTTGGCATCTAGGTGAGCCTAGAGAACGACATATCTGTTGTTGACTTCATGGTCAAATGTAAGTGTTTTTTAAAGCAATTCTAAATTGCATTTTTGAAATGATTAATCCTTATTGTCAACTGGTTGGGATTTAGAATCCTCACAGAAACAAACTTGGGGCATATCTAACAGGGAGTTTCTATTCTGAGTTCACTGAAGTGGGAAGAGCCACTCTAAATGTGGATGGTACCATTCCACAGGCTGGGATTCTGGGATTGAAAAGGTGAAGTCAGTGTGAGCATCAACACTGTCTCCTTCAGCTTCCTGACTATAGATACAATGTGACCAGCTTCCTCCTTCTCCTGCCTCCTCCTTCCTACCATGATGGTCTTCACCCTCCAACCGTGAGCTAGACTAAAGCCTGCCTTCCTTTAAGTTCCTTTTGTTATTGATTTTTGTCACAGCAATCAGAAAAACAGTCAATACAATATATGCTGGCATGCATTTCAACAGGGTACATGGCCAATTTTCCTAAGTGCTGAGAATTCTGCTGAACCAGAGAGATATCCCTCCCCAAGGGTTTAGAGGCCGGGGTTTCTGATTCACCTTGGCCAACTGGAGCAAACCATTGATTGGGGCTGAGATGCAGGCCCTTGCTTCCTCCTTCCACTGGGAGCCCACACATTTGTAAGTGACGGTCCCACCGATGGTCTGTCCAGGGTTTCGGGAAACACGCGAGAACTGGCACAGCTTCTGGATGACTTTCCCAGGCTCCCCAATACCTATGATGGGATCTCGGCATGTGATATTCTTCTCTGTATCAGTAACATGGAAATAAAAGAGATGGTTGGGAACTTCTTTCAGCCATAAAGAAGAACTAAGTTACATCATCTGAAGGGAAATGGGTGCAACTGCAGATAACCTTGCTTAAGGTTAAGGGAACTTAAGGTTATAATACTTTCCTACTTTGATGGACAGGCCCTGGTTATCAATATGCACCAGAATGTACACACAGCATTCAGTAAGCTCAAATTAACTGGTAAGAACTATTGAACTTTTGAGTATGGGGGCTCCAGTCACAAGAAAGCCATCTGATCACCTGGCCTTTCTGATGACTGGGGAGAGTTGTTCCACATGAACTCCCGTAGAAACAGTCACACAGATCGTGACTTCTCATCTTGAGAATAGACCAGGTCACAGTGGCTCAGGGGTGACAGAGGATAGGAGGGCCAGCACCTGATATTCCCACCATTTCTTTTCAAATGGCTCTATCTCAGGAAGAGCACCAGGAAGGACACACTCTCTTGATGTTATCTGTAAGGAATCTCAGAAGGACACAGATACTGCCCATTCCAGTCTGCCTCGGAAACCACTTAACCTTCAGGGCTTAGCCCAAGAATGATTTCAATTTCCAGGCTCCCTCTCCATTCTTAGCAGTAGAGCTAAACCAGGCACCCTTTCTGGCCACACACAATAGTTCTATCTCTATGTTCACTCTAGCATCTGTGAGAGCATCTTCAATTGCATCTCTGGCTCCCCTAGGCTAGAGGCCAGAGAACATGACCTGTTTCTTTTTTAATTCCCTGTGGTTCACCCAAAGCCTTCATATGAAAATGAAAAAGTCAATGAATAAATAAGTCTCTGCTCATGATTACATGACTTGAAAGTCATTTAAATGCACTTACCTGGAACAAGGGTAAGCTTCATAGATGGGCTCTGGACTGAGCTGTTAGCTGCATTGGTAAAGTGGCAGAACACTGCAATGTCTTTGGAACACCACCGAAGTAAGTTTGCTGGGAGACTGTATTTGTAGCATGCTTGCTTGCCGATAACTTCTCTTTCTAAAGACAGTATTATTGAGACTATGAATTCACAATATAAATAGCCAGGACATAAGTAAAGGTTAAGATGTTCTGATATGAACAAACCTGCCTCCAAGTCTCCTGAGAATCTGTGACATTTAGTGTTATTATGGTTTCAAGTATTTATGTGAAAATAACTTCTGGTTCTCAGAGTAGGTAAATTCATCTTTGTATGTGTGCTAGCCAAAATGTCACCTTGTCCACTCATGGTTTCACACGTGAGCCTACATCCTATTCGGTACATCGACCACATCCTGCCTCATAGTGATTTATAGTCATGTCTTTATAGATAGACCATTATATATTTTAAAGATTTTTTTTTTTTGGTTTTCGAGACAGGGTTTCTCTTATAGCCCGGGCTGTCCTGGAACTCACTCTGTAGACCAGGCTGGCCTCGAACTCAGGAATCTGCCTGCCTCTGCCTCCCAAGTGCTGGGATTAAAGGCATGCACCACCACCGCCCGGCTATATTTTAAAGATTGATGTAAATTTTAAAAAAAAAATTATATGTACTCTTGGGCTTCTGTGTATGTGCTAGTGCAGTTACTTACAGAGCCCAGAAGAGGGCATCAGATATCATGGAGCTGGAATTGTTGGTGTTTGTAAAGCCACCTTAGGTGGGTGCTGGGAACTGATCTTGAACTTGGATCCTCTGCAAGAGCAGTATGTGTTCTTAACAAGCCATCTCCCTTCCCTAAGGTCATTCTGTCCTACCAACCCAGAAGCTTCAATAGAGAAAGTCCCCTGTCTCCTCCATCTTCACATCTCCCAGTGCTTGACTGATTATCAGGCATATACAAAACACCCAATTTATGCATTCTGGCATCAGAATGTGTACTTAACAAAGATGTAGTCACATCTGATCTTTATTTACCTTACTTTGTTCCTTAAGGGGATTTATGTGCATTTGCTTTATTGTACATACCAGATTGAATTAATTACCACCAGGAAAACTTTCATCAAACTCTCCTCTGTTTAAATATGCCTAAAATAAATTACTTGTGGTCAGGCTTAACCTGAAGTTTGAACCAACACTAGTTGCTTAGTCATGTTGAGCCAAACTGCCTTCTTGCCTCCCTCCATCCATTACTCTGTCAGCCATGGTGGTTGCAGACACCCCCACATTCAACTTCTAAACTATCTCTCCATCCCATGCCTACTTTCTTTCCAACCATGACTGAAAGATTATTGCTTTTCTGACCTAGTCTTCTACCGAGCATGTCACTCTTTGAAGATCCTGTCATTGTGCCAGGGATGGGATGTGGTGGGGAATGGCTCTGGGACCATTTAAAGTACAAAGGCTGAGGCTGGAGAGATGGCTTGGTGGTTAAGAGCACCGGCTGCTCTTGCAGACAAGCTGGTTTGGTTTTCAGAACCCATGTGGTGGTTCATAATCATCTATAACTCCAGTTCCAGGGGACTCGACACAGTCTTTTTGACGTCCACAGGCTCTGTGTGAATGTGATACATGCAGGCAAAACACTTATACACATAAAATAAATAAACTGAATGAAAACAATTTAAAGAACAAGGTCTTCCTAACCCTAGAGCCTTCAACCAGAGGTTCTGGGATGCTGATTATGGCAAATGCCTTCAGGAAGCATCATCCTTGCCAGAGAGTGGTTCTTACTTTCTTTCCCTCTGTGCTGCTTGGTTCTTTCTCTCTTATCATCTTGCTGGCCGATTGAGTCATGCTCTATCGAGTTATAGCAAAGAAGGATGCATCATCAGAGTATCTGGTTGAAAACACTGAGAGTGTGGAGATGAAGGAAAACTTAGGGGCTCCACCCAAGACTTCTGGTTCAAACCAGTGAGTCATCAGCCATATACCAAAACAAGATAAGAGAGACAGGCAGAATTCTCCCTGATAACACTCTCCAGGATTTTTGTTTTTTATCCCAGAGCAGCCGGTGCTCTTAACCACCAAGCCATCTCTCCAGCCTAGCCTTTGTACATTAAATGGTCCCTGAACCATTCCCCACCACATCCCACCCCTAGCACAATGACAGGATCTTCAAAGGGTGGCATGCCTAGTAGAAGACTGGAAAACAAAACTCCATCAGGCAAGGTTAGAAGTTGGGCCTCCTCTCTGAGTACTGAAGATGGATCCCACAGGCCTCCCACTGGTCAGGCCAGTGCTCTGCATTGGAGCTACATCCATAGTCTCTTTTCGTTTTTATTTTGAGACAGGGTTTCACCACGTTGCCTAGCTTGTCCTTGAATTCCCTGTGATGGCTTAGGTAGGCCCGATACATGAATCCACCTGTGTCGGCTTGCCGAGTAACTAGGATTACATTCTTGTACCTGCAAGTGTGGCTCCTCCTCTGTCTCTGTCAACTTTTTAATATGTATTTTAAGAGTACAAATTCACATCTATGAGAAAATGTGGCCTAGCAATGGCATGGTCTGCCTCTTACCAGCGGGGAAGGAGGAGGAATCCATGTGGAAGGTCACAGCGTACTTTTCCCCTGCATCCTCTTCTACGCAGCACTTGAATTGATGGGAACTGGTGCACAGACCACTGGCTTCCAAAGGATCCATCATGATGTCTGACGCCAGAGGCAGTGGGTGAATGGTGACATCTTTGGTGGCGATGCTGTATGAATTCTTATATCTAAATATGCAGTGGTAGGTTCCTGAGGGGAGGGAGCAGAAGTGAGACAGAATGAAATCGTCGCTCTCAAAAGGCGTCACGGTAAGGAAGTCATCGGTTTTAAATGGCATCAGCAGCAATAAGAGTCTTAGCCTTTTCCCTCAAATGTGTGTATGAACCTGCTCCTCCTTCCTGAACACTGGGAGAGCTTAACTGACTTCTTCTGTGTACTTCACAGGTCTTAAGAACTAGCAAATAACTCTCCTACCTTCAAGTATGCATTTATACCAATCAAATTAAGTGTCTTTATCTAAGGTCAAGAATGAACCTGGGCTCCAAACTCTCTACTCCAAGATTCTCCCACAAGGGATGAATGGGGATTTGGTGGTGTGCAGAAAAGAACGTTTTTGAAGAGCTGGGACGTCATAGAGCACCTCAGTGTTATCACAGCCACTTGGCTGTCTCTAAATGAGTGGTCCCTTAGACTCCAGGACACCATGGACCAGAGGTCAAACCACCATTTAAGCAGCTGCCCTGGATGTTTAAGTACCTAGCCCAGTGACCTACTATATCCGAAAGGCTCCGTGGATGTCAGCTGTTACCACACAGTTGAATCCTTATGCCTTCAATGACTTGGATCTCCTGGCAACGTGAACAAGGGAGAGATGTAAACAGGAAATACAAGTGCTTCTCTATTGAAAACTAGACATATAAACACTTACTGGAGTTTTCATGGTACAGCTGTGTAGTGTAGTGCCAATCATGTAGTAAATCTGTATCATCATCATTTTGTGTGCACAAGTATGTGCAGATGCATGTGCCTGTGTGCAGGTGTGCATGTGCATGTGTATACACACACATGTGGAGATTAGAGAACAATCTCCACTGTTGTTTCCTAGGTACTTTCCATTTTCTGTTTGAGACAAGGTCTCTCCCTGGCCTAAAGCTTTGTCAAGTAGGCTAGACTAGCTGGCTAGCAAGCCTCCAGGAATCTACCTGTCTCCACCCACCCCTACCACCACTGCTAAGGCTGCAAGCTGGCACTACTGTGCAGGGCTTTTTATGTGGTTTCTGGGGATCAAACTCAGGTTTTCATGCTTGTAAGGTAAGTGTTTTACTGACTGAGCAACTCTTCAGGTCCTAGTAAAGCTACTTTGAAAAAAAAACCACCTATTATCATGATGGCAGGAGGGCTGGTGATGGAGTCAGACACTAACTTCAGTCCGGGTTGCAAATTTTAATTTGTACCACCACATTTATTATTGCTTGTAAACATCATTTTCTACATCCATAAGATCAGATAAAGTGGGCCAGGCGGTGGTGGCACACGCCTTTAACCCCAGCACTTGGGAGAGGAGAGGCAGGTGGGTCTCTGTGAGTTTGAGGTCAACCTGGTCTACAGAGTGAGTTTGAGGACAGACCCATTCTGTATTTCCAGGGGTCTAGTCAGCCTGCTGTAGAGTTTGAGGACAGCCAAGGGTACACAGAGAAAGTCTATCTTGAAAATAAACAAATAAAAAAACAAATAAATCAATAGGATAATGCTAATCCGCCCCTCCCCCATACTGTCATGTCATCCACAAAGAGTAATTAATCTAAAGTACTCATTATAGGTATGTCCCAAGACAGACCCATTCTGTATTTCCAGGGGTCTAGTCAGCCTGCTGTAGAGTCTGGCCAGTCACTCACCATTCCATTCTCGGGTGGAGGTCTTCACCGTCAGTACTGACTCTGCTCCATCCTGATACCTCCTCATGGTATAAAACCTTGGATGGATTTTAATACCAGCTGAAGTGTTCCAGTACACCTCATCAAAGCTACTCACATCGCTGAGGCATGTTATAGAAAAGCTTTGTCCCTCAGAAACAGAAATTGGGTCCGGGGTTATTGTTAGGTTGGCTGAAAGAGTGCAAACAAAACAGACAAGACAAAAACCGACAACAGATCCAATGTTTAGTTTTTGGATGACATTGACACGGGAGTGACATTTAAGACAGAGACAGCAACACGGACCGTCCTGGCTCTACCCGTGCCAACGCGGGATTGGTACCTTGCCGCTCCTGGGTTTTACTTGTTTCTAGGCTGTTCCCGGTGGTGCTCTGAACTGTACTCACTTCCATCACATGCCTTAGGACCTCGGGCACTTCCCCTTTGTAGCTGGAATTATCTCCTGATGATTAGCAGGGTAGAAGGTTGCAAACTTAGGGATGTTGGCTTAATCCGGACTCCCCTCCGACCTCCTCTGTGGCCCCTCTCAATGGAAAAATAGAGGGATGGGTTCTTGCAACAACTTTATATTGACTCTTTAAGCGCTTTCCCCATAATTCGATGTTCTATCTTGGAAGGCAGCTGTGCTCACCACTGGATCATCAACGTCAGACCACTGTGATGTAGATTCACTCTTTTCTATTGCTGTCCCCATAAGAAAGCAGCTTTTTGCCTCTGTTGGTGCATCGTTAGCATTTACTAATGGTCTAGTATACTTCATAAACAAATGAGTAGATTCTTGATCTACCTTTCCAGCAGAGGGATCATAAAGCTCACTCTCCAAATGATCAGGCTTAGATCATCTCAGGAAGACTGGGTGTATGAGCACCTTAATGTTATTTAGAGCTATTTTAACTATATGCGATACTATAACTGAGGTTAATATTATAATCAATCATGTTTCCTGCTATTTTTGGAATTCTCTCATAGATTCTGTAAGACATTGTTGACAATGTTGTGGTCATTGTGATATAAATGCTGACATGAAAACCCATTATTTATTTTTCTCTCATTCCATCTTTCCTTTCCTCTGGGAACATGTCTTTCCCACAACTGATATCTCAAGACGGTATTGGCGTCAGTCACCTATGGAGATGAACTGCCTCATTTCCTGAACGTATTGCCACAGACCTGATTCTCCAGTCATATATCAACCTTACTCTTAGTGATCATCAAAAGAAGCCAGTGCTTTCCACAGTGTCCTTGTCAGGGTTCACATGCTGAGGCACAGCGCCAAAGCTACACAAGACACAGTGTGTCCCTCACTCTGCCCTCCCTGACTGGAGGGATCTGGAAACAGCTCCTTGCGGGGGGCTAGCCATTTCTGAGAAGAAGGCAAAGCCTCGTGGACCCAGAAATCTGTTTCTCTTGTTCCCAGGACAGGTCAGATGGCCAGACTAGGAATTTTCGGCAAGCACTAATCGTGCCTCTATAATATGTTCCAGGTTTCCATATACAAGCTATGTCTGCTTAATATGCACTAACTTCCAAGAGCAGAACACATGCAGAAGGCAAACAGGTATCACTTGCATCCTGCTTCTCACGACATTTCTCAAAAAGGCTGTAAATGGTTCATTTTCATAGGATAGACAGAAAGAAATGTCTGTAGCTGTGGTGACTCTAGAATGCCAGTTGATTAATGATGCCTTTATTATTTTGATCGGCATAGGCCCAGCGTTGTAGATTGAATGAGAAATGTCCCCTCAGCTACTGTGTTTAAACACTTAGTTCCTAGTTGGTCATACTATGTGAAAGTTACAAAACCTTTAAAGGATGGAACTTGCTGAACGCAGTATATCACTGTGGATAGGACTTAAGGTTTTACAGCCTGGCCACACTTCCTGCGGTCTCTCTCTCTCTCTCTCTCTCTCTCTCTCTCTCTCTCTCTCTCTCTCTCTCTCTCTCTCTCTCGTTCCTGTGTGTTGATGAAATAAGAAATGGCCCTTTCAGACACTGAAAGACTGAAATGAACCTTTTTATTCAACCATAAGACAATGCCAATTGATCAGGTTGTTCTAGCTTTACATAGGGTTATTTCTAGAATGGAGAGACTGAACGAGATCCAGAGGGGGAACTGTGGGGAGTAGGTTGTGGGGAAGTAACTGAGGCTGTTGGGATTTAAGAAGGGGAAACTGAATTGTTGGGAAAAGAGGAGTTAGCAATCATATGAAGTCATGACAACAGAACTAGCCTGATCATGATACAACTTTCTTAGCCCAACTGCTTCCTTAATCTGAACAACATGACTACTTTTCCCCTGGTCTTTCCTTCCCAATCCAATTTAAAATGACTCCATCTGTATTGAAATGGTATGGAGGGATATCTAACCACCATCCCACTCCCAGGGAAAGCTCTGCTTTATTCTGCCCACTGATGTGATGATCCCAGCCGATTGGCAAGTGTAACATACATTTGTCTAAAGAGTCTATGGCAAGAGTTCTTACCTACAGAGGTGAAGGTCACTGCTATGTTCTTACTGCCTTTGGCTCCATAGGCACTGACGAACTCACATGTGTAGATGACAGTTGTTCCAGAAGACCCACTGGGACACTGGGTTCCATCTGCCTTGAGTGTGTAAGTGCTGCAGCTAGAGTCTAGGTCTGTTTCTGGGTTCCCTGCAATGATATAAACAAATTTTCAACATCATGTGTTGTAGTATATATTTTATCTCAAACATCACTACTTTTGATGATGGTGAACTCTTATGCTTTGGTGATAATATTATATAGAACTGTGAGTAAAATAATCCCTTTCTTTCTCATGTTGCTTTTTGGTCATGATGTTTTATCACAGCAATGGTGACTCTATTATTTTGATTGACATATGACCAGTGTTTCAGTTTGAATGAGAAATGTCCCTCATAGGCTCACGTGCTTGAACACTTAGTCCTCAGTTCAAATTGCTCTTTGGGAAGGTAACAAAACCTTTAGGGTGTGGGAATTTGCTAAAGGAAGTGCATCACTGGGTGGGCTTTATGGTTTTGTAACCTGGTTCACCTCCTGTTCTCTCTGATTTCTGTGTGTGAATGAAATGTTATCACTCTGCTTGCTGATGGCCAGGCCTTCTCCTTCATGGTGGACTGTGTGTGTTTTGGAACTGTAATCCAAAATAAATCCTGGTTCTCTAGCTTGTCCTTTTGTCAGGGTATTTGATCACAACCACAGAAAAGTAGCTAGTCCAACCAGCTTTTTTCCCCAAGTGTCTATTCAGCTCCACTCATTTTCACTTTCTTTCTCTAAAGCCCACCCTCCGTTCATCCTTTCCTGAACCTGGCTCTTATGAGAAAGCCACATTTGCACTAAGGATCACACAGTTGACTGACTGTAGAACGGTGCCTCTCTCTACAGGTCAAATCTTAGTCTGCTCATGAGTGAGAGCCGCTCTAGCCCCACCCCCTTTCATGATGCTTCTGCATTTGATACCTGTGGTTTCCCACTCCTGTCTTGTCATCAAACCTTTGAAACTGGCCTTTGTCACCCTCTACTTTATCAAAAGTGTTTCCTTACAGCCAACAGGGACCTTCTCTTTCCTCCATCTTGGGCTTCTCCTTATGTTGCCTCTGCTGCCAGCCATCTTCTTTTGGCTATAGCTGCATTAGCCTCCCTCAGGTCCTTCCTTGTCTTTCTTGTCTTCGTCCGTATGGGCTTCCTTTCTATGGCCCTCTCCTGAGCATCCTTCTTAAATGTCTATGTTGCTGTGGTGTAATCCCCAACTACACCCCTCCACCTCACCCTACCCCACTTGTTGCCCCTCTTCTCTTCACTCCCTTGGCAACATCAGTCCCCAACCCCCACCCTGAGGCTCCTGCTATGAACTGAGATTGGATGACTTCCCTCACTACTCTAAGAGGAATGTCATGGTTGGAAACTTTAGAGGCAAATTCCCAAGCGTTGATTTGACATCTCCAGTACCTCCAACTCAACACGTGTGATTTCTGTTTTTTTCCCCCAGACAGAATTCACACATCCAGTGTTTCCTGCCAGAGCTATTGGCAAAAACCCAAATTAAAATGCTTAAAGGCCACTTTAATTACCCGAACTTCCTCACATTGTACTTCCACCCACTTGTGAAAACCCTCTGAGCTTACACTCCTGAAACATGGCTGTCTCCAACAGTGAAAGGTCACCCCCTACCTACTATCCCCACCCCCAGGCCCCTCTTTGTTGTCTACACTTTGCAACTGATTACATCTGGCCTTCAAATCAGAATTAATTCTCTCTTCAACTTACACATTGTGCTACCTGGCAGTTTCATTTTCTTCTTGTAGCTGACTTGGTTTGGGTTTTTAGACAGGGTCTCACTCTGTAGCACAAACTTGCTCTGAATTTGTTGTGGAATCTAGTCTGGCCTTCAGCTTGTGATTCTCCTACCTCAGCCTCCTGAGCTTCAAGTAGTCAAACATGATGTCCAGTGGAAGTTTAGGTTTCTAAACTTCAGTTCTGATCATCTAATTTCCTTTCACTTTTAATTTCTTACTATGGCTACTGAGTAAAGTCAAATGCTCTGAACATGGTGTGTGCCACTGAAGGACCGGGGGCTAGACAGATTCCTAATAGGCAGACAGATAGAGAGAGGACTTACACATAGATAATGATGATGGCAAACGTATTCCTCACCCTCCTGACCTGAGACATAAGCCTTGTATCTCAAAACAAGGACTTCCTGTGCTTTTTCTTCCCACTAGTACACCTTCTTCCCCACTCTCATCAGTGAACCAACCCAGCAAGTCAGGGCTGGATCAAGCAGGACATGCTAACATCAATGTTGTAGGCTCATCAGCCTCCCTGTCTGTTAGGTTTCAAACCCAGGACCTGGAACCCTAACCCTGCTAGTATGCAGGCAAATTCACACACACACACACACACACACACACACACACACACACACATATGCGTGCACACGCTCTGCTCTCAGGGACCTAGCAACTGCTTAGGTCATTATGTGCCACAGCCTGGTGTGCCAAGTGTATGCTGTGAATAGAAGAACCTGGCCACCACTCCAGATCTTTCTCTCTATATATGTTCTCTTTGTTCTCTGTACACAGTCGACACAGTTGGTCTCTTTCTCCCTCTCCCTTTCTCCCTCCCCCTTTCTCTCCTTCTCTGTCTTCTCTCTGTGTCTTCCTGTCTGCATGCCAATTTCTCTAGCCTTGTCTCCTGAGATGGGTGAACCCACCTGAGAGCTGTTCCTAAATCAACCTGCTTTTATACTTGTAATTTGGCTTAAATTTGCTTATCATGCCAGCCAAGAAAAGCTATTATCTTGGTGCGAAACCTGCATGCCAGGGTTGAAACCTAAAACTGTCTTTCTTCAAGCTGGTCAGCCCTAAACTGAGGAAGGAAAACCCCTCACAGACCCTTAGGACCTCCAGCCAATGAGGAGAGACCACTTGGTTTTAGGCTCCTGCAACCCTCCTTTGCTTTGCAGGATGTCTTTCTCTCACTTTCTCTAGATTGGCCTTACTGAGTGTGTGTGTGCTCACCCCTTTAAAAGCCTTTCTCCAGGTGCTGATTCTGTCCATCATACCTGAGATTTCTCCCATTGCTACCCATTGCACTTGAGGGCTGTGTGTGTGTGTCCCCGTTCATCTGTCTATCTTTAAATTCTTTAATTGCTAGATGAAATGAACCTGATTCAGACCCCTAGATAACAGGAGCTTTTCTCATACTATGTTCTAATCTATTATTCTCCTCTGAATTTGATTCTTCATTTTCCCAAAACCCAAACCAATGTGTGGCCTTCAATACATCCTGCAGCCCCAGCCCTGGATGCCTGTGTTCACATTTGCACCTCCCCCTCCTCTTCCTGTTGAATGTACCTTATCTTTAAAGGTCTGGGCTTTTCACCCAGTGGACAATCCAGTGAACCATACAAGGTGAGACACGCGTAGAAAAGGACAGAGCATGGGAATGTGTCAGTGATAGGTCCCATCAAAGAAAATTCAATACAGTGTGCAGGTTAAAGGAAGGGTCATCTCAGATGGGCGACTGAGAACGACTTCAGAGGAGAGGATGTTATTCTAAGCCTTCAAAGACAACTGGGAGGGTAAGAGAAATCAGGGCTATGGTGTGAAGTGAGGCTGTCAGTGTGTGAGCCCAAACCAGCAATCCTCACCGTAGGACTTAGCATTCCATCGAGCTGCTTTGGGGGCCAGGGCTGGGTGCAGGACAGGAGGATAACAAGCTCTCCCGGAAATCCATTGTTCGGCAAGCTGGACAACCTTGCTAGACTTAGGAAAGTCTGCAAAGGGGTCACCAGAGAGAGAGAGGTCCTTGAGCATCCCACTGCAGACTTCCTGGTTCCTCTGCCAGAGGGTGAAGTCTGTCATCTTCCAGAGTTGAAAGAGATATGGGAACTGTGCAAGACCTCTCCTCCATCTGGCAGCTCCTTCAGGATGCCTGTGCCCTGTTTTCCTTATAAACTAGAAAAGTGATTATATGTCCTGTAATGACAGTTTTTTTCAGAGTTGACAAGATGTCTTCCTCAGTCCTCAGAGATCTGATCAGACGCTGCCAGTGACATGTGCCTGAGAAAGTGTCGGTGAAGAGTGACTTTTCATATAATGATGATGGTGGTGGTGGTGGTGGTGTAGCATAGTCTATGAGCGCAGACTTTTTAATTTAAAAATCTGCATTTTAGGTCAAAGATTTTTCTCTTTAAATGTTACCACATAATACTATTGTTTCTTAAAAAGAAAAGGTGGCTATGGTCTCCTATGGTTTCTAAGTATCCTTTTCTATCTAAACTGCTGGTAGCTTGGTTCAGAGCTGGCTCCCCAGGATGAAGAAGATGTGGTCACATAGCTAGTAAAATAAGATCAGCGAGGAGTCATAATTTTTTCTTTTTATTTTGTGACAACCTTGGGAAAGTTGTTTAATCTGGATCCTAATTTCTTTTCTTATCCCATTGGAGGTACATACCAGCTTCAGACTCATCATTAAGTTTAGATGTGAACACTAACAATTGTGTTTTTTAAAAATGGATTGGTATTTTTACAAAACTGTTAATAAAAAGCCATTGTTTCCTGTTTTAATTTTTAAAAAGTTTTCTTTTATTTTATGCTGTGTCTGAGTGTTTTGCCAACATGTGCATCCGTGCAGCATGTGTGAGCACGGTGTCCAAGAAGGTCAGACAAGAGTATCAGGTCCCTTAGAACAGATGAGTGGAACAGATGTGGCTGCTGGGAACCAAACCCTGGTCCTCTGCAAGAGCAACAAGTGCTCTTAATGGCTGAGCCACGTCTCTGGACACCACTGCCTTCATTTATCACTCAGTAGTATAAACTGGAGGATGGGGAACTTCAGTTTAGGTCTCATGGCAAACAAAAGCAGAGTTGGGTAAAACACTTCCATGTATGAATGACGACTGAAGTCAGATGCCCAGCATCTGAATAAAATGCGGCAGTCTGCCTATAGTGCCAACATGTAGAAAGGAAAGACAAGAGATCCCTGGATCAATCAGGCTAGCTATGCTAGAAAACTCCTGACCTCAAGGTTCAAGAAAGAGAAACCCGTCAAGAAAGACCCACCGTGTTATCCCCAGCCCTCTACACATGTATACTCCCAAAACCGTATGGACCAACACAAGTGTTCACACGTGTGTTCACACATGCCACATACATAGACATGAAGAAAGTACATGAGTAGAAATGAACATCAAGGAACTGAAAGAGAAATAACAGGTCTACAGAGAAATGCATGCTGGGAACATAGAGACAGAAAAAACTGAAGTGAGTACATAAGCGAGAGACTCCAGGCAGAAAAGAAATGAGAAGGTCCAGTCAGGTCTAGGTGAAAACTCCCTGACCTCAGCTTTAGCTCTTTGCTAAGGATGGAAGGGAAGGGTGGGCCATGCTATGGACCTATGTCACCAGGCCACTTCCTCTTGGGCCTTTATCTGCTAGGATCTTGTCCTCGGCACAAGCACGACGCTTGCATGAAAGTACTTTTGGAAGTTTGCTGTGTGTTTCCCAGTCTGGAACTGGCATCCAACCTAGTGGTTTTGAGTTTTGTTTATGTTTTCATGGTCCAGAATAAACACCATTCCTCCCCTGCCTACAAGATATCCCATTTTGCCTTAGCTGAAAGGCAAGCAAAGAGCCCTCTTTGTAAAAAGTCTTTAGCAACCATCCTTACCTAGAATGTTTATTTTCCCTTCCTGTTTCCATTCGATTTTGCTCCAGTTTGCGATATTCTCGCTGCAGCAGTTCAATGATATAGGATTGTTATCACACACCACCTTCCTTTCTTCCTTGGCCAAAATCCGGATGGGAGTGACATCTAATTTTCTGACTGTCCCATATTCAAAAATATCCAATGTCACATTGCAACCATACAAGCCTGCAAGGAATACACAAAATGTTGCGTTGTTATCACTACTGTGAGTTTCCTTTAATAGAATCCAGCCTCACTTCATGTGCTGTGGCATCTGAGGCTTGATTCAAGGGCCCCTTGAAGAACATTCAGAAACTGTCAAGCCAGAGCAGACACATCTGATGACGTGAGGTAAAAGGTAAAAGGTAAAAGGTAAAAGGTAAAAGGTAAAAGGTA